TTTCAGATATTCATTATAAATATGTAATTATATTAATGGGATTGATAAACATGATGAACATTGTAAATGTGGCTGTGGCTCTTTGTACTAAACATGTATCAGAGACTTTGTCACTTCTACAGTCACTTAGACACTTGGACTTCCTGACTTTCAGGTCTATTCAAATGATACACTTCACTAAGAGAAACCTTTGTACTGGAGTTTTTTGTTTTGTTTTCACTTATTCTACTTTGTTCCCTCAGCATATCAGCAGTGTCAAATAATAATAGTAATAATATCTTCCATTTATATAGCGGGGGCACACAGGGATATGAGAGCTTTAAGTACAACAGCCCACTGCTCTGTTGTTTGTTTTATATCCAGATCTCTCTCCCAATGGTCTAGAGTCAGTCTGCTGCAGTCAAAAATATAGAACATAACATTTTGTAAAGCTTGGAAACTGCCTTTCTACCTCTCATTTCTACTCCTAACCAGTCCTGCCTCACCTGAAGGCAGGACTGGTCAGGTGTTTAAGGAGACAGTTTCTTCCTGTTTGGGGCTGCTGGTTTTTGTGGCCAGTCTACCATTTAGTGTGTTAGTGTCTTTGTCAAGTCTTTGCACTTGATTCAGTAAAAGAGGCCCTAGTTTCAGATTTGATGTGTTAATTTCATGTGTCTCTTGTTTTCTGTCACTGTGGTGACCCTGTGTTCTGAGACACTCGTTGTCACTACTCACTTCGTGTTTGTTTGTTAAATCCTTTGTTGTCTACTTAGTTTTCTTAGTTACCCTTTGTTACTCTTTTGTTTAAATAAATTACCCCTTCTGTAAATATTTTAGATCCCTTTTTGTTTAATTACCTTTACATTCCTGTTATTTATACTCAGTGTTGGGAGTAACGCATTATAAAAGTAATGTATTACAGTAATGCGTTGATTTTTGCTGTAACGCAGTAATGTAAGGCATTACAGGGGAAAAAATTGTAATATTTTACTCGGTACAAATGTGAGTAACGCGCGTTACAATGCTTTTTTAACCTGGATTGAAGTGGTGGGCTTTTCTTCATAGAAATTCGCTAAAATCACCATGAAATCAGCAGCGGTGAAATGCCAGAGACGCGGCCGGATAGACCTTCAGTTAACCGCGGGCGAAAGGACCAACCTGCTGTTTAGACCTGGTTTAGACCTGAGTCACTTCTGGTTTAGACCTGGTTTACAGTCGTCCCTCGCTCTAACGCGGTTCACTTTTTGCTGTTTCGCTGTTTGTTTGTTTTTTGTTTGTTTGTTTTTTGTTTTGTTTTGTGCAATTTTGCCTGCCTTTTGTTTTTAGTGTATGAACACGTATTGCGTTCCGCCCGATGCGTCCTGATCGGCTGAGGGACTCCTGTCTACTGTACAGTACAGTACAGAATGTGTTCAGCTGCCAAATTTAAATAAATGTTCAATCTGTAGCAGTGTGATTCTGAAGTGCTGTATGTCTGCAATTTTTCTCTCCGACAAAATCCACAACGTCGACGAAACATTCTGCACTGACAAAGGCTCCTGCGCTCGCACCCAAAAGACAGAGGACGATGCAAACCATCACACAAAAAGTTGGACTTCTGGACACGTTGAAGGAAGGTAGAAGTTATGCGATGTAGCAGAATCTTGCACCGGGTCTTGTACCCGCAAATAGTTGCTGAAATCAGGACCGTGAGCCCGAGCAGCAGGGTGTCCATAAAGCGCGATCGGGCGACAGCCGCTCTTACCTCCATGAGGTGCGGAGCAAAGCCGATCCTTTCTCCTGCGGTCTCCTTCGAGCCCATCCTGACAGGGAGTCCTGTTTTAGTCCAAGTTCAGTTCTGGTTTAGTCCTCCTCTTCAGTCCTGGAATCAGTCTGAGGTTAGTCCTGTTATAGTCCTGGTTTAGTCCTGGTTCAGCTCTTGTTTAGTCCTGGTTTAGACCTTGTTTAGTCCTGGTTCAGTCCATATACAGCTCAAAAGTTCAGCTTTTTCGCAGTTATTTTGGTGAGAGTAACTTAAAGTAATGCAATAGTAATATAATGCCTTACATTTTAAATGCAGTAATATTGTAATGTAACGAATTACTTTGAAATGACAGTAATAAGTAATAAATAACACATTACAGTTTTAAAGTAACTTGCCCAACAGTGTTTATACCATTTTTATATCTTGGTTTCTTTTACCTTCCTGACCCTAGCCATGCTGGGTTGTAACTCTAGGTTGTTGTTTTTTTTTTATATGATTCTCAAATAATTCTTGTGTATTTCATTTTTAAAAATAGTTTTATATTGCCACATTGAATTTCATCACTCAGTCCATTCCATAGAGTTACTCCATAAACTGTTACACATTTACATTAGAGTGGAACATTGCACATTACAGCCAAAGAGAGGAGAGTTTAAAACAGACAAAAAAAAGAAAAAAAAACAAAAAACTGTGCCCTGCCTGTGCTCTAGGCTCTTTACAAATGTACACTTTTAAACCAAGCCCCTCAGATAAGACCCACCCCTCTGGACAGAAGACCGGTGTCCTGTCGATTTGAGCTACCCATCAATTTGTGCTACCGAGTGCAACTGCACTAGGCTGGTGCCACCTAGTGCCTCCGCTCAAGTGACTAGGTCAGGTCTGTCTGGGTCCCTTTTGTGGAACAGCACAACAGTAAACAATGCGTTGAGATGGACGTAGACCATGGATCTATTAAAATAACTGGATACAGTATTTCTAGCTTGTAGCTGCCTCCAGTTGATGTAGTGGTCACTCACTGGAACTTCATCAGAAAAAGTCCCATGAGCCGAGACAAGATTTTTTTCATAGAGCGCAATGTAATCACAAACTGCTTGTGTTGGTCTGACAGGTCACCTACAGCTTTCAAAAATATCAGATTTGTTGGCGATTTTTACCTATTTTTAAATCATAAACTTTTTTCTCTCAAAAACCTTCAGTTGTCTTAAAAAAAACGCTTTATATTCGTTAGCTCCGACTCCGCTCCAGCTCCGCTCCAGCTCTGATTGGTCAAAGCAATCACGTGATAACCGAGCCCGCGCTCCGTGCGTGTGGTCGCGTGCATTCGCGTGTGCCCATGGGAGAAAAGACACTACTGCACATGCTCGGTTGGCCCAAAGCCACCGGAAGTACCTAGCCATGCTAGGCTAATCTGGGATCATGCACCATTGAGCTCGGCCCATTGACTTGAATGGGCGGCCATTTTGGAACCTGGGGGCTTGACGTAGACGAAGACAGACATTCTGTGGCAATGATTCCCGAGATCAAGGATTTAAAGCCGGAACAAAGAGAATGTTTGGTGAATTTTATCAAGGGGAAAGTCGTTATTGCCCTTCTTCCTACGGGATTTGGTGCATTAAAAATGTACCCGCCTACTATCGAGCGAACGAATCCTAATGCGGCGAGGTCACATGGTTTCCACAAAGTGAAATGATGAATCAGGCTACTACTGCACATGTGCATTACCCCAAGTGTTGTTACAGTTTAAATGCTGTCGATTTGAGTCCTGACGCACAGATGGCTAAATTTCCCTCCCTGGATCGTGTGTATATATTTTTGAAATAAATGTTTGTTATAATGTTTCTTCTGTCATCCCTTTTTCTGTCCTTATCCATCAGGACTAAGAGACAAGTTCATTGTTCTTGGTGCTAAATAAAATTGAATTGCAGGAATTGTTGGTGTGGTGTGTTAGTTTCAGAGTAGCTTCAGTGTAGTTAGATCCTAGCTAACTATAAGGCAGTGTCCACCAGCATCTGATCAGAACTGAAGAAGCAGCTTGGATGAACTGAGAAACGTCTTCTCTCTAAAACTTTTTTCCAGTTGACAGAATTGAGTTTTTCTTTGCTTCTTCCCACAAGATACAGAAAAAAGAGAAAAAAGCCGTTAGAGAGAAGCATAGAAAAAGCTGTAAAGAAAAAGACGTCAAAATTAAAGAAACGCTACTTAACTACTGCTGGTGATGTACAGGCGAACACGGTAAATATTGTTTTCAATTGAGTTTCAATGCATACTGTACATTTAAATCAACTACAAATTGTCATGGTTCATGTTTTGTAGTTATTGTTTTTGCTTATTTTGATCTTTTTCCTGTAGTGTAGTGTGCCTTTAGTGTTTTATTTTGACATTTGCCCTGTCAAGTTGTAGTTTTGAGTTTTACTTCCTGTCTTTATTGTTTGCCCCGCCCTAATGTGTTTCACCTGTGTGTGTGTATTTATACCCTGTGTTCTCCTCTGCCCTTTGTTGGTCCATTGTCACTGGCAGAGTTCCTTCTTGTCTCGTGTCATGGCATTTTAGTCTTGAGTTTTGGATTTTTTTGTTTTGTCATTAAATACTTTGAAGCAGTCCTGCATTTTGGGTCCTCCCTCTGTTTCTACATGACACAAATGGCAAATAAAGTAACCTAAACCTATGGGGACTAATAATAAACAAACATTAACTACAAAGTTATTCTTTACATACAGATGCTGTTTCCAAAATGATTGGCACAGACAAAGGCTAAAGGGTTTCTTTATGTACCCGCAGAGCCACACAGCAGTGCAGAGTGTGTACTAACTTCCTGTGGTGAGGGTGGCTGATGTCTCATCATGGTGGTTCTCTCACTTCTAGAAAGTTTATCCAATAACAAACTTGTAAAAGAGGAAATGAACGGCTGTACATCATGTACACGTTGTATGCGACTATGAACATGTGTGAGTGAACAGGCGTGCTCTGAATGTCTTCAAAAGCACTGTAAAAGTAACCATTTTGACCTTTCACCTCTGTGTGTTTGGATGGATGTAGCTTAAAATGTAATTCTTTTGACTTTTTGATGTTTTACTTTATATTTATAATGAAGTTACCACCAAACTCAGCTGAAGCAGAGTGGACTATCAGAGCAGACCCAGGAGGACTGCACTTACCCACAGGAAACATTTGCTGCTCAAATATGTCTTTTTTTAAGCATCAAAGACAAAGTTGAGACTGTCATTGTCGTCTCATTATAATTCTACTTTGGGCTAAGCTGCTGTCATCCATGTCACAGCATGGAGGCTGCCCATGTGCAGGAGAAGGAGGAGGAGGAGGAGGCACCAGCTTCATCCAAACTCAAGAAGCCATGTTCCTCTTACACTCAGTGAGTACCCCAGTCTCACACTCAGCGTACTCCAGTCTCACACTCAGAGTACTCCAGTCTCACACTCAGAGTACTCCAGTCTCAGTCTCACACTCAGAGTACTCCAGTCTCAGTCTCACACTCAGAGTACTCCAGTCTCACACTCATAGTGTCACACTGTTAATTGGCGCTCATTTGTCCTGGTTATGTCTAAAGTTAAACTATTATAAAGACTTTAGAAAGTGTTACAAAGAATTCACAAACTTCCAGTTCTTCAAAGTGGTTTACTTCTCCAAGTGTCTCTGAGCACAGATCCCCTTTTGACTCATCTCTAAAAGCTCCAACTATTCTGGGCGGTACCACTCATTTCCACATCCCGTTGTCATTCCATCATTCTAAATAATTAAATAAATCATTTCTTTCTCAAGTGCATAAAAATGCCATGTTTCTGGAAGATTAATTTGAGAGGAAGATTATTAAGGAAACGAAAAGAAGAGGCCCTAGAATAGATCCTTGAGGAGATCCACACATGAGAAGGGTAAGGCAGGGAAGGGACCAGAGAACTTTGTTAGCTTAAACGCACCTGTTTGCAGCATTGTTTCTGTCACCTCCACACACTTCTCTAAACACATTCAAATCTTATCTTCAGTGTAGAGAGTGTGAGCCAGAGAGAAGTGTCCAGCTGTGTGTCTCTGAAGAGTGAGCGCTCCATGCCTCACCATCCAGCCTTCCCCTTGGAGCCTAGACCTGCACACACACAACTGTAAGTTGAGACTAAAATAATGTCCCAGGATGTTTACATGACGTTTTTAATGATGTAATCACAGTGCCTACAAATACATTACCCTCCTTTTCTTTGTTATTTCTTTGCATGAAATATTCCATGGTATGACATTAAACATATCTGCCATTTATTTGCATTTGCAGGTGTTTTATTGCTCAAAAATACATTGAAAAACAAGAATTCTTAATATGTGCAGGCTCGCCTCACCATAGATCTGACCATTAACTTGTCTCCATTGTGATAACATTATTATTTCCATACTGGGAAATACTGAAGGCAAAGTAATATCATTTTCACAGAAACAAGCAGGTGGCAGACCCTCCACCAAAACAGTTAACACAGTGCACCTTTATTGACACTCCAACATAAACACAGTAATTGTATTCACATATTTTCATATTAGATTAAATTCAACTTTACTGTCATTAAACATGTATAAATACAAATGTGGTTTAGCATCTAATCAGAAGTGCAGGAGCAGCAAGTGTGATATATACAGAGTGTGGAGTATATACAATGTAGAGCATATACAGTATATTACAATGTAGACTGTAGTGAATTCATACTAATAAATGTGACAGCAGGTAGAATATGATTAGGTATAATATACATGGGGGAATATAAGCAGATGTATCGTAAACTATATATACTATGAACAAATATAGAGGGTGTGTTATAGAAAATATAAATATGTATGGCATATATAAATGAACAAAAGAGAAATATGAACAGATGGACTGTAAATAAATAAATAAATAGAAAGTGATGTATCAGATGTAATATGAACATGTCAGCATGATGTGCAGAGAAACAACACTGGTGATATTTACATGTGTTTGGATGGAGGGACTGGACAGAGGACGTACATGTCTGTGGAAGATGAAGAGGGAGGGGGCGAGTGGGTGACATGGTGGGGGGGGTTCACTTGGCATGGTGGTATGATGTTCTTCTGTTATGAACCCAAATCTGTTCATAAAATCAAACAAAGTATTCAGTGTTGACTCGTGATGGCAGGTTCTTTGGATGTGAATACTGTGCCCTGTGCTCCAGCTCATTGATACTTTACAGCTGATGACATCAACATTCCCTGGAGGTGTAATGTTAATTTTAGGCATCTTTCTGTCTATGGTTCAGTTAAACTTTAATCTGAGCTTTATTTGACAAAGTCTGACCATAAAAAACTGACTGTAACTAAGGTGAGTTCATTTATGATGCTAAATAAGTACCTCAATAATAAAATTACAATTTTTCAGTTAGTCAATCTCACCTTTTTGTTGAAAATCAAACTCCTAAACAGGACCATGAACGCTCAGACTGATCACTGTCTTCTGAAAATGTGCTCTTTAAATCAATGTTGTGTTATACTTAAACTTTTTTTTGACAGAGTTTACAGAGTTTAAAAACACAGTGGAGCATTTCTTGTATATTAACACATGACATCACAAGGTAGAAGATCTAAGCTTAAATGTGCAGAATTTGTGTGTGAATGCAACGAAACACAACTCCAGGTGTGTTTATGATGAGGAAATAACTTTATATTATAGGTCAGAAAATAACAGAATATGAACCCTTTAAGGGTTTTAAATAATGAATACAATTTCACAAATTTTGTATTGTATCCTTTGCAGATTAAACTTACATAATTAAATGCTGTTATCTTCAGTGTAGAGAGTGTGAGCCAGACAGAAGTGTCCAGCTGTGTGTCTCTGAAGAGTGAGCGTTCCATGCCTCACCATCCAGCCTTCCCCTTGGAGCCTGGGACAGAACAAACACTGCAGTAAGTGCTGCCGTCTCTTGTTTTTCATAACACATATTTTCAAATAATAACTCATGAGTTTAAAATCAACATATTTTGCAAAATTGATGCATATTTGAGTAATCTTTATCCTCCTCTACTTGTTTTCACCTCCACTGTACGCACTTCTTTCTCTCCAGTTTCAGTTAGGATTTGGCAGGGTTGCACAGGCATTTTTCGTACAAATGAAAAAAATAATCAGCTGCTCGCTTGTGTAATGTGCAGCTGCCCATTGGAGGTGCTGACAGCATGTGGTGCTTTGTTGTGATGACATTTAAAATCTGCAAATGATAACATAATGATCCATGGGTAGATTATAACTATATAACAGACACAAGCACAAGATCTGCTTTAAGCTTCCTTGTTCTAGGCACATATAACACATCATCCTCACCTCAGATATGACACTTTGGTTTTTAATTATTAACTGTTGTGGCAGTGGTCCAAAATATTCATGTCATTTTGAAACCCATGGATAGGTTTTGTTCATCTCCTACAATTTGATGATATAATATCAGACAGAGAGGAGGGGCCCATCCACTGAATTTCACTGTTTTTGAAAGAAATATCCAAACTTAAAATTCACTAAAGTTGAACAATTTTAAACATATGGCTCTTGTTTTTTTTCAACTGACACCAACAGAACAGACACTGAACTGTTTTCAGTGTGGGTAAGCCCTTAAACTACAGAGATATTCTACACAAACCAGGTCAACAAATCTGCTGCCTGACATTCCACCCGAGAGTTCTGACCTGTTTCCAGCTCTGTTTAAACTACACTCCTTCTCAAATGTTGTGATGTTGCAGCTTTGCATTTCATACCAAAGTCTGTTTTGTGTTGTTGATGGACAAATACTCTAAAAGCCCCAACTTAGGCCCCGTTTACACATACACTGGTATTTTTAAAAACTGAGACATTTCCCTTCGTTTGTTCTCACCTTTTACACGCAAATGGTGAATTTGCCTCTGAAAATGAATCTTTCTAAAAACTCTGGCTAAAGTGGAGAATGTGGAAAACTCCAGTTTGGCGTTTGCATGTAAAGTGAGGCTTGGTGTAGTTATGACGGCACTCAATGGTGGGTTTATGCGGGTTGATGTAAACAAAAACTTTTTCTGAAAAAAATGTTGTGTGCACGATGTTATTTTAGAAAATGGAGGGAGGGAACTATTAGTTTCTCAACACACTTAGTTTCTCAAATGAAGCCTAAATTAGACATTAGACAGACTACTGCCAGATTAAATTCCAGAGGGGGTATTATGCAGCACTATTCTATATGCAGTTAAAGCACTGTCAGAAGTCCAGTCTTCAGTATGTTCTGTCCACAGGGAAACCGCTGCTCCAGGCCCGTCTTCATGTCCTTTGTGTGGAGGTGTTCTGAGAGGTTCAGACTCTACCAGTCATGAATCCTGGTGCAGTTGTGCCACTTCAGGCTGGGACACTTTACAAAGTAAGTCATTACAGGTCAGATCTGTGGAAAGACAACCCTGTTGACAGTACATATATTAAAGTGGGGGTATTATGCAAACTGGACTTTTTGGAGTTTTCTACCATGTTATAACGTTCCCTCCACAAAAACATTCCTGAAGAAGTTTTACAAGTCATCCATGCATGTTTCAGTATTTTAGTGATTGCTCATGGGCCTTCCTTATGGCGAGCTTTGTCCAAGACTCTGTCCAATGCTCTGCCCACAAGCCTACATCACCAATGCTCCCACACGGCCATTCTCCATAAATATACAAAAATATTAGGGGTGGGATGAGAGCACCTGGAGGGGGGGCTCAGAGCATCAAAAAAATGAAAGTGAAACATTTTAATACTTTGTTTTTGGCATTTTAAAAACTAAAAAATAACATGATTATCTAAATATGTTTTAGCAATAATTGCCCATAGAAGTAGGAAATTGCAAGATAAATAAGTTTAATGTCATGCTGTGGAACATTAGAGGCAAGGAAATCTCCGAGGAGACAAGTAAGCATAGCTAACCTTGACCTTGGCCTTCTATCTGCCAAGATAAGAATAAACAGGAGCAGAGCTTTACCTGTGTGCTGTGTCAGTGCTGACATATAACGCTGATTTCTAACTCATTCTGTCCATCTCTTTATAAATATTAAGCTTTTTCACAAACGAAGGATGGTAAATGTTGCTGAGGATCACATTTGGTCTGTGGGCCATAGTCTCGTTCTGGATTGTGATCAGATGATCTGTGTCCCTGATGCTTTAGAGCTGACATGTTCCTTCTCTCAGGTGAGCACAAGAGGCACCTGGAGCAGAGCTGTGAGAGTGTGTCTGAAGGAGCTCAAAAAGAAAGAACTTCTCTGAGCAGAATCTACACAGAGCTGTACATCACTGAGGGCCACGCTGAGGAGGTGCCAACTCAACATGAGGAGATGCAGCTGGAGACGCTGTCCAAGAGAACTGTCCACCACACTGCCATCAGGTGCCAGGACATCTTTAAACCCCTACACTTGGCTGACAACAACATCCGAGTGGTGCTGACATATGGGGTGGCTGGAGTGGGGAAGACCTTTTCAGTTCTGAAGTTCACTCTGGACTGGGCCCAGGGCATGGAGAACCAGGAGCTGGCACTACTGGTGCTTCTGTCCTTCAGAGCACTGAACCTGGTGAGGGAGGAGTGCCGCAGTCTGCTCCAGCTCATACATATGTTCCATCCATCTCTCCAGCAGCTCTCTGCTCACACTCTGACACACAGTAAAGTACTCTTCATCTGTGATGGCCTTGATGAGAGCAGACTGGCTCTGGACTTCAGTTCAGGGGTCATCACAGAGGTCACACAAAGATCAGAGGTCAGTGTGCTGCTGGTCAATCTCATCCGAGGCACTCTACTTCCTAATGCCCTTATATGGATTACGTCCCGCCCAGCAGCAGCCAATCAGATCCGGGCGCAGTATGTCCACAGGGTGACAGAAGTGAGAGGCTTCACTGATGACCAGAAGAAGGAGTACTTCATGAGGAGGTTCTGTGATGAAGAGCAGTGTAAGAGCGTGCTGTCCCATATCAAAAGCTCGCGCAGCCTCCATGTCATGTGTCAGATCCCAGTCTTCTGTTGGATCACAGCCACCGTCCTGGAGCATCTGCTGAGGAGCGAGCAGTGTGGAGCACTTCCACAGACACTCACTGACATGTACTCCAGCTTCCTCCTAGTGCAGACTCAAAGGAAGAGGAAGTACAGAGACACAAGCTGTGGACCTGAGCTCACTACAGAAGACTGCGAGCTGCTCCTGAAGCTGGGCCGACTGGCCTTTAAGCATCTACAGCGAGGAAACATCATGTTCTACCAAGAAGACCTCCAGAAGGTTGGACTGGAGGAGGTGGACACACTGGTGCACTCAGGACTCTGCACAGAAATCTTTAAACAAGAGAGTGTTTTTGACAGAGCAGTCTACTGCTTCATCCATCTGAGTGTTCAGGAGTTTCTGGCTGCTGTTTACACATTTCACAGGTTTAGAACCCACACAAGTACACTGCAGAGGATTCTCACATTATTCAGACTCAACTCTAGACTAGAGGACTTCCTTAAAAAGGCATTACTAAAGTCTTTCCAGAGTCCCAGCGGCCACCTGGACCTGTATGTGCGCTTCCTGCACGGCCTGACTCTGGACTCAAACCAGAGGCGCCTGGGAGCTCTGCTGGGCCCTGCACTCACACACTCAGACAGCAGGAACAGTCTCATCCATAATCTGAAGGAGATGAGCACCAAAAGCTCTCCTGACAGGAGTCTGAACATCTTCCACTGTCTGACAGAGCTAAAGGACCACTCAGTGCATCAGCAGATCCAGGACCTCCTGAGGTCAGAAGACCGGTCAGAGAAGCTCTCCGTGGTCCAGTGCTCAGCCCTGGCCTACATGCTGCAAGTGTCTGCGGAGGTCTTGGAAGAGCTAAACCTACACAAGTATAAAACATCTGCTGAGGGACGTCTGAGACTGCTCCCAGCCGTGAGAAACTGCACAAGAGCTGTGTAAGCATTTAAACATGAGATTAAGGTTGTTTTCACACTTATTGCTGCACTCTCTGGACCAACCCCATTTTTCTATTTAACAGTGGACTAGTAGATATACCAGTGTGTCTTATTTCCATATTGACCAGAGCCCCATAGCTGTTTTTTATTTTTGACATGTTTTGTGGATAGGCTGGAGTAAAAAGTGAAGTAGAGATGATTCATCCCAACATAAGCCTCAGTGAGGACGTGTATGTTTGCAGGGTTACATCCCTCCAATCAGACTTTTTTTTTTTAACATTCTGCTATTCCGACACACAAGGTAATTGTTAAGTTGTGGGGCACTCTTTTTGGGACAATATTTTCATGGACTGGTGATTTAGTCCTGCTTTAGTCCTGCTTTAGTCCTGCTTTAGTCCTGCTTTAGTCCTGCTTTAGTCCTGCTTTAGTCCTGCTTTAGTCCTGCTTTAGTCCTGCTTTAGTGGCGCGGTCCGTGCAGCATGTATGAGGTAAAAAAGTTGATGCTCCAAATTATGATTAAGTTGTCAGAATGATGGATTGTCACAGTGGGGCTCTGTCGGAGTGGCGGTTTGTTGGAGTAAGGGTTCTACTCCTGTTTTGCAGGCTCTCTCAGCTGGAGCTGTCAAAGCCTCACTGTGACATCGTGGTGTCCGCTCTGAAGGCAGACCCATCTCTGCTCCGAGAGTTAGACCTGAGCAAAAACACAAACATCAGCTCTGTGATGAACAGTTTGTGTAAAGGACTCGCCAGTGCCAACTGCCGCCTGGAGACCCTGAGGTCAGTGTGTGTTTCTGCACATTACACAGCCGCCCCATGGTATTCAGATGTGGCAGCAGATATCATTACTATTCCCTGGGGGTGAGATGCTAACTTGAGACACTGCTGTTATAGAATCACTGGTCGGACCCAAATATGCAGAGGGAAAAAAAGTATTTATTTACAAAAATAGTCTTGGCGGGGGGATAGATTCCAGCGGAGGCAGGACGGGTCCAGGTTGGCTGCAGATGGGAGGTCTGTGGAGATAGGCTGACCGGAGGCTTACAGAAACTGGTGGTAACGGGATGAGGCTGGCTCCAAAACAGAAGAACTGGGGAACAGATGAAAGAAAACAGGTAAGAGTCAAAATCTTCAAAAATGCTCAAAAACACAAAAAGCCTGAGTTATTCACCACTTGGTTGACGGAACGATCTGGCACTGGAGAGCAGGTCAGCAGGTCTTTTATTGCTGGAGATGATTACTTGACGAGGATCAGGAGTGCAGCTCAGCAGGTGAGTGATTGGGGTCCGCCCAGGAAAAACCAAATAGGGTAAGAAGAGAAGGAGCAGGGAAGGGAGGGGTAGGAGGGGCCGGATGAAACCCTCACAACTGCTCTGTCTGAGGTTTGTTAAACTTTAATTTGAGCTTTGTTTGAACCCAATCTGACCATAAAGAACTGACTTAGCTGAAACTACAACAGGTGAGCTGATCTGTGATTTTAAAGTCACTGTCATGATCCGACCATGAACGCTCAAATTAATCACAGGCTCCTGACAATGTGCTGTTTAAATCAATTTTGTATTTCTCTATCTTAATGTGTTAATCTTAATGTTACTTTTGTTTTAATGTATTTATTATGTTTTCATTGAAACTGGTGACACATTCCACCATACACATACACACAGAACACCCCCAGCGTGATGTAGTATAGAGCTGATGTTGGATTTACACATTAACTGCATTGTATTTGATTATTCTTTTGTTCATTTCAGATTGAAAGACTGCAACTTGTCCGAGTCTAGCTGTTTTTCTCTAGGATCAGCTCTGAAGCTGAATCCATCTTATCTAAAAGAACTAGACCTGAGGAATAACTGGGACATGAAGGACTCTGGAGTAGATCATCTGTGTGGGTATCTGAGGAGCCCGGACTGTCGGCTGGACACGCTCAGGTCAGAACATGGCCTGATGCTAGCCTGCTTAAAACATTTCATTTCATTTGGACTAAGAAGGCATTCCATAGAGACTTTTATCTTCTAGAAACCACATCTGAAACCATCCTCAAACGCTGATGCTGTTTTCATAGTTCAATTTCCCTTTAGCTTGAATTTCCCTGAAGCCATTTCCTTTCCTCTTTTATGACGTGGTTTATGTCTCGTCTCATGTGATGACAGGCAGGTGCAGATCTGAAACAAAGTGAAAGGCTGCTTTGGAAGAGAAGTGAAGGAAGTGTTTTTGTGAAGACACTCCCTCTTTAAACAAAAATGCACTCATCCAACTTTTTTAGTTCTGATAACAATATTGAAACTTTAACTTTAAGCCAGTACCCGATATCAGCTGATACCAGTGGATGGAAAATGGCTCTTATTTCCTTAAAATACAGTTCACTTATTACACAGAGAGTCGATGGTGTTCTGTAACTGTTACATGTCCTCCACATCACAACTGAACACATCTGTATGAAGAAAAGTTGACATTATGAGATTTTTAGGTCAAAATCAGACTATAAATAGCCTTTATTACATCCACTTAAAGGCCCAACCAGGATATCAGCTGAACTGATATTATGGAACCGAGCCAATAATCGATACCAGTATCAGTATCAGTGCATCCCTAGTCAAGATCTGAGCCAGCCAAAGCTGAGCCAGCCAAATGACATTAGCAGTATAAGGACCCATAATGAGGCTAACATATAAAAAGTACAGGGCAGCTTCACCCTAAAATTCCCCCTTTGGGGCTTATTATTATTTTACTTCTATGGGGCTCTGCTAACCTATTTAGATCACCATGTTATCTTTTATACTGTACTGTAGTATTGTAGAGTATAGTGTAATAAAGTATAGTACAGTATAGTAGAGTAGAAACAATGTATGAGTCTTTCAGTCCTTTCCACTATTGCACTTCACATCAGTTTTCATCTAAAACCTCTTGAGGCATGTTTCTGATGAGAGATATATTATTAGAACATTATATCATGGCACAAAGCTCCAAAACGTTCCATTTTGCATAATAATGTGGGACATGTGCTGGGTAAATCCATCAGATTGATATTGTTTCTCTGGGCTGATTTTAGATTAGAGTACACACTCACATACTAAGAGAATCATATTATAGTCAGTCCTCTTCTGTTGTGTGTCTTCTTCAGGCTGAGCAGCTGCAGCTTGTCTGAGCGGAGTTGTGCGTCCTTGGCCTCGGCTTTGAGTTTGCGCCCTTCCCACCTGCGACTGTTGGATGTGGGCTGGAACAGACACCTGGGGGACCCCGGGGTGCAGCGCCTCTGTGTGTATCTGCAGAGCCAGGACTGCGGCCTGGAGATTCTCAGGTCAGTAGGGCTGTAGGCCTTTAGCCCAGGAAATTTTTAAGATTTGGATGGGACAAGAGCAGAAAGGAGGAGTGAGTGAATTCACTGAAGAAAGAAACACATATTGTGCTTGTGTGTGCTATAGCTCTAATCTGTGACACCCGTGGATAATTATTATCATTTTCACATTTAATATTGCAATATTAATCTAAAATGACTTAATAAAAGTCCACTGACTGCCACATTACAAAACTGTCATGCCCATTGGGAACAGACGTGGCTGTAAACCTCACCATCACAACCAATCCCTGCATGCAGTGGACCCCTCCTGTGGATATCTGCACATCACTGAAACTATTATAACATGTTGAAAAGCTCTGAAAAGTCCATTTTGCAGAACAGGTTTGATGAACTCCCCCTGCAGGTGTAGCCTATAACTTTAACTGCGTAGATACACAGTTATAGTTTTCGTTGACTTTTTAGTTGACTAATAGGTTTATTTATTTATTTATTTATTTATGAGAGAGAGACAGCGCACAATTTCTACAACCTGGTACAAGAGACGCTTGTACCAGGGTGTAGCACCAGTGTTCATTTCCACCTGTCGTCCCTGGGCAGGTTCATTGGTTGATTGTATTTAACTGACCTGAGCTATCAACTGTTCTGGAGACCTGTGTAACATGTTTTTGGGTTTAGATGGGCAAGACGTGTTTGTGATCCACCCTTATGGTACTGAAACAACAAGTGTGTGACATTTCAAATATCCACTAATTTAATGACAATAGTAAGGACTGCTGTGTCTGTTAGGATCTGTGGCTGCTAGTGTTGACATGATATTAACTTTTCAAAATCAATTTCAATACTAAGGAATAGACTCAATACCGATTCCAAAACCATGATGATAATAAAAAAAACCTCTTTCTTTAGACAACAGAATGTGATTTGTGTGTGTCTATGGCTACGTTCAGACTACAGCCTCAAGTGACCCAAATCTGATTTTTTTTTTTTGGCCCCTGTGCTCCTGTATCTGATCTTTAAATGACAGTCTGAACGACACAGATCAGATTTTTTCAAATGTGACCCAGGACACTTGGATATGTGTTCCTGAAACCAATACATTTTCACATGCGGCTTCAGTCTGAACGGCCAAAGCGCATTCATCCGACCTACACGTTATCAACAAGACACAAATGTACACAAACGTTCTTCTCGTCATACGAAAATTGTTAATGAACTCCGTGTCACTGAAGTGAAGCACATCACCACTCACCACTCTTGGCTACGTCTCCACATCCACACGTTCCTTTCAACGGACGTCGCTGCCACTGCCCCACAAAACACCACGGCCAAAAACCTCGTCCTTTTCCTTCTCAATCTCCTCCTTAAAAGTTGTTCATGTTCTGGCTCCGGTACGAGAGAAACTTTAAAATCTCCAGGTGCTCAATGCTGCGTCCATGTTTGGACAACTTCCGTAAACACAGAGCACGCTCGCTGCGGTTGACGTTGTCGTGTCTCCAGTGCACATGTGGGACACTTTTGGCCTGTTTACTGTTCACACTGGAGATCACATACAAGTCGTATTTAATTGGAAATGTGAATGACCTCGCAAAAACATCGGATTTCACAAAAAAAAAAAAAAAAATCAGATTTGAAATCAGATACATTTTGTTAAGCTACAGAATGTAATTTTCAACACAAAGTCATTGTAACTTCTTTAAAATTGCCGTCTGGTCTTACATCAGTTCAGATATACATGAAGACCATTCTAAAACTATTCAAGACAGAGTACGTTTCTATAGCGTATTAACTCTCACACAAAACTATTTGCATATAATATTTGCAATATCCTTCTTTAATGAAAAGTTTAATTTTGTTGTGTTTATTAGAAATATATCTATTGTTCAAATATGTGACACTGTTTTAGTACTATGTGAGTGTGTTTGGACAACCTTACACTGACACTCCCACAGAGGCCCCACCTTTGAGCATCCCGTTGTCTCCTCCCTCAGGCTGAACTGGTGTGGCGTGTCCGGCCCCGGCTGCTCCTCTCTGGCTCTGGCCAAACCTTCATCTCTCACACACCTGGATCTGGGAGGAAACGATCAGCTGGACGACCGGGCAGTGGAGCATCTGTGCGGATTCCTGCGGAGTCCACTCTGTCGCCTGGAGACTCTGCGGTCAGTACACCTAAAGGTCCTGTACACAAAAGAGCTCCCTGCAGCTCACCTCAAAACAACACGAAACTGAACGAAACAAACACGAGAAGGAGAGAAAGAGAGAAGAGAGAGGGAAAGAGAGAGGGATAGGGATAGAAAGAGAGAGAGGGGGGACAGAGAAACAGAGATAGCGAGACAGAGAGAGAGAGAGACAGAGAGAGAGAGAGGGACGTAGAGAGACAGAGAGAAAGAGAGGGATAGAGAGAGAGAGAAAGAGGGAGGGATAGGGATAGAAAGAGAGAGAGGGGGGACAGAGAAACAGAGATAGCGAGACAGAGAGAGAGAGAGGGACGTAGAGAGACAGAGAGAAAGAGAGGGATAGAGAGAGAGAGAAAGAGAGAGGGATAGGGATAGAAAGAGAGAGAGGGGGGACAGAGAAACAGAGATAGCGAGACAGAGAGAGAGATTGAGAGACAGAGAGAGAGGGGGTTAGGGTTGGGGACATCAGTCTAAGCAGGGACTTCCAGACTTCCTTCACCTTAGACACTTCCTCCAGCTCCTCCAGGAGGACTCCGAGGTGTTCCCAGGCCATGGAGAGACATAATCCCTCCAGTGTGTCCTGGGTCTTCCTCCTCCCGGTGGGACATGAACACCTCCAGAGGGAGGTGTCCAAGAGGCATCAGAACAGATGCCCGTGCCTCCTTAACTGCTCCTCTCCACATTTTGTGTAAATCCTCTCAACATTTGTGAAAATCTACATGAGAAATCATTTGACCAAAGCTCTGTACACACACGCACAATTCTGAGGGCTGCTTCTTTAAGGAGAGGGGCAAGGACCACGCCACAACAAAGGAATACAGTATAGATATTTACTGAGGATGGACAGATGTGATGCCTGTCGGGAGACTCAAGGTGGGGGCTCAGTCTCACGTGGTCAGCCCAGCCGATTCAGGACCCCCCCCTCTCTCTGTAGATGATGTCTTCAGACTAAAAGATGAACCAGAGACACTGGGTTGGTGTTGTGGGGATTGGCCTGTATAAACAGGGCTTTTGGGTAATTGAAGGTGTGGTGGCGCTGAGCTGTGGTTGGCTGGAGAGGAGCAGGGGGAGGTGGAGGCATGGTCATGCTCCTGAATCTGTCAGTCATAACTCCACTTTATAACACTGTTCCCTCACCAAAACATGCCTGAAGAGGTTTTAGATGTCATCTATGTGTCTTTTCTTTAATTATATTTTAGCGATCTTTCTGGGCCCTCTTCAAACCCTCCTTATGATCAGCTGTATGACTCTATACTAGGCTCAGACTTGTTTGCAGTGAACTGTCACATGACCAGAAAGTGTTAAAGTGTGTAGATGTGTGAAGACACACTCTGCTTTCTTTAGATGTTAACATGTTTGTGGTCACTGGTCAGGGGCTGGACACAGAGATAAATATCAGATCAGTTTCTTCTTTATTCTGTTCAGTGTGTTTTGTAAAGCCCAAAATATCAGCAGCTGTCTCCTCTCAGGGCTTAACCAGATAATGATCAACCAACAGAATGTTAGAAAATCTATGATTGCTCAATAACAGACATGTGGCTTCAACATTCACAAGAAACAAGCCCAGAGCGCCCCCTGTCCTTAAACTCAGGTGTTTATGGTGTTCTGTTTATTATCCCACAAGTCAGGGGAGTGACCATGCTTGTGTTACCTAAGATGACAAAAACACATTTGTTGTTTGCTCAGACTGAACAGCTGTGGTGTGTCGCGATCTGGCTGCTCGTCTCTGGCCTCAGCTCTTTGCTCCAACTCCCATCTGAAAGAAATCAACTTGTGGTACAACCTCCTGAATGACTCGGACCTGCAGCCACTCTACCAGCTCGTCCGGAGCCCCCAGTGCCCCCTGGAGAGTGTGCTGTGAGGAGATCTCTGTATATACACCAACAGTCCACACTTTGGACACACTGTCTTTTTCACTGCATTTTTAATTCCATTTTACCACTTCCATTTTATAAACACACAGGAGACATCCAACATATGCTGCAAGTATGAAACTGTGTAGCAAAGAAAAAATCTGAAATAAGTAAATATTGTTTATATTTTATATTCAAATCCTCTGAGTACCTGCCCTTTGCTTTATCAACAGTGCCCTTGCCCTTCTCTCAGTGATCTTCATGATGAAGTCTCCTGAAATGGTTTCCACTTCACAGTTGTGCTGCGACAGGGGCAAGAAATGACAAAAGTGTAAACCAGGGTTCAAAGCAAAGAGTGGCTATTTTTTAAAATTTAAAACAACTCTGGATGCCTTTCTTTGATAATCTCTGATGGAAATAATCATAGAATATAAATAATACTAATAAATATAATGAAACATAAATGAAAAAGTGTGTCCAGTCTTTGGACTGATAAAGAAAATCAGTCAGAGCTTTTCAAAGTCATGAACTGAACACTCACATGCTCTTGTCTTCTGTCACAGGCGATAACATCCAATCCAACCACCTGCAGAACCAGGATGAACCAGACTGAACCAGACTGAACCAGACTGAACCAGACTGAACCAGACTGAACCAGACTGAACCAGGCTGAACCAGGCTGAACCAGGCCCAGCCCATCTGGATGCTGTTCAAGTCATTCCAAAGCTTTCTCTGTGATGAAGAAGCCTCAGAAACCTCCCTGTCTCTGCTTTATGCAGCCTGTCCTGGTTTGTCCTGTTCTAGTCCTGGTCCTGGTCCTGCCTCTGTGGTTTACACATGTGAATACTCTGGATAAACATGTACACATGTGAATACTCTGGATAAACATGTACACATGTGAATACTCTGGATAAACATGTACACATGTGAATACTCTGGATAAACATGTACACATGTGAATACTCTGGATAAACATGTACACATGTGAATACTCTGGATAAACATGTACACATGTGAATACTCTGGATAAACATGTACACATGTGAATACTCTGGATAAACATTACACATGTGAATACATAAACATGTACACATGTGAATACTCTGGATAAACATGTACACATGTGAATACTCTGGATAAACATGTACACATGTGAATACTCTGGATAAACATGTACACATGTGAATATTCTGGATAAACATGTACACATGTAATTATGTATTATTTACATATTTATTTATTCCTGATCATATGCATGTGTGTCACTGTGTGAGGACACAGATCTATATGTGGAGGGATGGGGGAAGTCAAAGAGCGTTACACATTGTTGCCGCTGTGTTTTGTGTGATGAGCAGCCTCTTTAGGTGTGGTAAGGCAGTCCCCTGTAAGCACTGTTCAAATGTTTGCATTTAGCACTCTGAGCTTTTACTTTTAACACAATCTAAGATGTACATTTGTATATATGTATTTATCTTAAAGTATGTTCTGCACTGTTGTGGTGTGTTGTTTTTACCATGTGTTGTAGCCTACATGAGAAGCACAGCTGCTGCTGTTGTAATGTGCTGCACCTCTGTAAGGGTACACTGTAGAACTTTCACATAGACCAGATCTCCTTTTGATATCATTTAAAATAATCAGTCATCATCAAGATGGCTCATACTCATCTCACTCCCAACTGTCTGTGCACTCTGACTAGACTACTGTCACACTGACCAGACTACTGTCACACTGACCAGACTACTGTCACTCTGACCAGACTACTGTCACACTGACCAGACTACTGTCTGACTCTGACCAGACTACTGTCTAACTCTGACCAGACTACTGTCACACTGACTAGACTACTGTCACATTGACCAGACTACTGTCACACTCTGACTAGACTACTGTCACACTGACTACTGACCACCAGACTACTGTCACACTACTGTCACCTGAGACTACTGTCACACCAGACTACTGTCACCTGACCAGACTACTGTCACACTCTGTCACACTACTGTCAGACTACTGTCACACTCTGACCAGACTACTGTCACACTCTGACCAGACTACTGCCACACTCTGACCAGACTACTGTCACACTCTGACCAGACTACTGTCACACTCTGACCAGACTACTGTCACACTGACCAGACTACTGTCACACTGACCAGACTACTGTCACACTCTGACCAGACTACTGACCACCACTACTACTACTGTCACACTCCAGACTGACCAGACTACTGTCACACTACTGACCTGACCAGACTACTGTACACACTACCACTGACTGTTACACTGACCAGACTACTGCCACACTCTGACCAAACTACTGTCACACTCTGACCAGACTACTGTCACACTGACCAAAACTAAACAACAACAACAAAGAAAGAAATATAATCCAATCAAAGTAATGTCATAAATTAAATAAAGCTATACTATATTTTTTATAGAAGTTTTAACAGTTTTAACTTTTTTGTTTTGGACCTGTTTTATCGTTTGAAAGTATTGTTGGATTTCGATATTATATTGATAAATATTTGGTTTATTTTGAGACCCATTTGGTTTGTCTATGTGACCACTATTTTGACCAGCACTAATGACACAGAGTCTGAATGAGACTACAGAGTTTACCAGATCTGTTGACCAGACTACTGGACCAGACTACTGGACCAGGGGCTACTGGTGAAAAAGAACAGGATGTCACTTTCCTGACCAGACTACTGGACTGATCGAGTGTTTGGACTTGTTCCTGATTTGGACTACTGACACTCTGACCAGACTACTGTTGTATATGGTTCCAGATGTTCTTACTGTATGTACAGTGGTAAAACAGGTGAGTGATTGTTTCTGTTTCGGTGCTACAGAAGTCACAGTTGTAATCAATCTTTAATTTGAATCTAACGTTTTTTTGGCTGGGTAAATATTATGGAGAATTTTGAAATTAACTTCTTTAATTGTGTTATAAATGCAGAGCCTCTCGCCAACCAGCCAAGCCCTGCTCCAGTCCATCTCCCCGTGCAATGAGTTCCAATATGAAGTGGCTTCAGATAATAGTTTTACTGTTTAACAGCAGAAATGTAAGAGTTTGACTGAATCTATATTATATTATATTATATTATATTATATTTTTATTATATAATATTATATAATATTTATATTGTATAATATTATATTATATTATATTACATTATTGTAACAAACAGGCTGGTTTGTTTCCCTAGAACCACACTTAGCACCTTCACCCTTCACTAGAGCACTTTAAAACACTGCACTTTCCTAGCACACAGCACTTTTAACATATTTGCACATCACAAAATAAATTGCACACAATTGAATTTAAAAAATATTTATTGGCTTTCCTTTAACCATTTTTTATTCCTGAGGCACAGCACTTTAATTGGAAGTTGCTTGTCCCTGGAGGAAAAGGGAGACAATAACAAATTACATTTTAAATTGACTTTGTGCAATAAATATGGTGCAATATCTGTTTTAGAATGTTTTAAGTGTTGATGTGTTTAGTGTATTTTATTGTGTTTTAATGAATGGTGTATCTGCTTTTACTTACCTCCCCTTTTTATCTTCTGTCCAGGTGTGAAAAGAGTCCCCCGGAAACGAGCTCCCTCTTTTATGGTTCCGGGCTGGACCACGTGTAACATTTTGTACAGGGGTTTTAGGTTAGGTGTTTTATTGGTTTATGGGTTTTAACATTTAATTGGTGTAATGGTTTTAGGGTTTTATGTATATATTTGGTGGTTTTAATAGTTATCTGGGTTTTGGGTTGTTTTATGGAGGTTTAGGTTTTAATTTTACGCTAATGATAATTTTAACCATCCCTGTTTTAGCATAGTGGTTTTATCCAATCAGTAGGACCGGCATAAAAGGCGCCTTCAAGATCAGTCTGTGCTCTGCTGCTGGAGAGGAAACTGCTGCCTGCCTCCATTTTGCACCCTGCACTTTTTGCACTTGCACTTTTGTAATCATTGAAAAAACAAAAGTAAACTGTGGACCACAACTACCTGTCTGTGTCTGGATTTGTTTGTTTTTTTACCTTGCTCACTGAACCCCAAGACGCTCACGGTCAACCTACGTTACAATTATATTATATTATATCATATCAGATAATGGCTGTACTGAAATTTGAGGAGCCTTCATTATTACCAGATCCAAGTCACACAGCACACATTTATGCCCTTCTACCAGAACAGTGGAAGTTTAAGAGCAAAGAATAATCACAACTTTTTTTAGTATAAATGAAGGGAAAAGAACAAGGAGGGAGAAAATGTGAGCTTTCTGTCACTTTTATTGATGTTCACAAACTGTACACATTACATCCTTAAACATCACTTTACAATGATGTTCAAAAGTCACAGAAGTCACTTTTGTTGGTCAAAATGAGATATTTACACACTGTCTGTGCAGTACACTGTCAAAACAAAACAGGTGGAAGCTCACAGAGGTTAGAAGTTATAGGGACAAATTTGGAGCCCATTTGGAATTAAGAATAGGAATTGATTTGCAGACCAAATAGCAAAATAAAGCACCAACACACGCATTAGGTCTTTTTTTTTTAATCTGTTGAGTTGAATTCTTTCAGTTTTAAGAAATTCCTTTAAAAAACAGATGATGCTGTTCTTTGTCACCAGCTGCACGGTTCCAGACAATAGCACACACATTTTTGTTCCACAATTGGAAACCTGGACTAGACAAATCAAAAATATAAAAAATGAAAAGCAATAAGTAGAACTAAAGAAAATTCAACTATGATATCATCCAATTCATTTTCCTTTCCAAAATCATACATTAAACCATCAGTTTGATTTAGTCCACATGTATACAGTATATTTGCCTATTCTTTTTGAAGAAATAAAGTCATTCTTCCATTTATATAACATTTTTGTTGTGTAAAACATGAATCTCGGTCACCACAATGTCCAAGCCCATCACAGCGGCTGACACAAGGAGCTCAGGGAGAGTTACTTAGATCCTGGGTCTATTTTCAGAACATGTTAATTGTGAAAATGTAGTCACTGAACTGAAGACAAGAAGAGCACTTCATTCATTAAGAAGTGATTTTCCAAGTCTTTAAAAGTGCATTAAAAATACTGCAAGGGTTTGTGTGGGCTAAACTAGAATGGGTCTATGCAACTAAACCAGGACTACTCAAGGTCTAAACTAGGATTAAACCAGGTCTAAAACAAGACTTGATAGATTTGCATGGGGAGAAACGTAACCCAAAAATTGTCCTTCTTTCACACCAATTCGATATGAGACTTGCAATCCGTTGGAGAAATAAAGGTGCACTATGCAACTTTTCTGGTAGATGGTTTGTCAGCTGCTTGTCTCCATAAAGATGTTATGTATAATGTCTCACAGTTACGCATTCAACTTTTCTATCCCCATGAAAACAAGTAGGGGGTGTAACCAGGATACTTTAAACATAGTGGGTGGATTAAGAAATGGACAAAGGGAGTGTGACAAATGAAGCTCACAAGGCTAGTGTTTATAGGGGCAAATTTGGAGCCCAGATCCATAACAGAAATATAAAAGTATTAACAGACAAAACTGCAAAGTAAAAACACCACAGGATTCTGTAGAGCACATTGATACAAACATTTAAAAACCAAAATGCCAAGGCTTACTGCAGCATTTCTAGGGAAAGGGGTGACAGTTTTAAATGTCAAATAAATTGGAGCCAAACCCCGTCCTATTTGGAAGGCTGTAATTAGTGCGTTAGCTATGTCCATTTATTTCTACAGTCAACAGTCTAAACCAAAACTAAACCAAGACTAGATGGACTTTTTTGGATGTGGAGTAAAAAAGAGAGAGATGATATGAGGCTTACAGTATAGTGAAAAATTAAAGGTGCACTATGTCACTTTTCTGACAAGCTGCTTGTCTCCATGGCGATGTAATTGCTGTGACCATAGAACATTCCATAACACTACACTGAACTTATCTATCTCCATGGAGATGAGAAAACAAGTCAATTTCCCAATCAGATCAGAGGAGATTGGAACCTGCTTACAGTAGAAATGCATGTTTTTCCAGATATTTTGAGCCATAAA